TGTTGTTGTTGCTTGAATTGAATCAACGCTGAATTGCCCCTAATTTGAAAGTGAAAGTAAAACGCGCACGGTGATTTTTCAAGCTATTTGAAAGCCAAGAAATCCGAGGACTTGAGTCCTTCGGAGTCCTTCGGCTTGACGCCGAATTGCGGCAGTTGCCGCTAATTTGAAAGTGAAAGTAAAATTTGCATGGCACTTTTACAAGCCATTTGAAAGTAAAGAAAAGAGGGAAACTCAAACGAACTAACACCAAAATTTCACAAAATTTCCTCACCGGCACAACCCTAATTTAAAACTTAATAGAAAATTTGGAGAATTAGAAATTTTGGGCAGAGAACTGAAAATTTTGGCAGAGCATCAAGAATTCTGAATTACTGACCTGACCGGGCACACAGAAAAAAATCCTTACTGTTGAGCCCTGTCTCTTAGTTTCGGTCCTGATCATTGCCAATTATGTTGTCATGGCAGCATTTCTCTATTTATTATGATTTTTTTTTAAGAGTTCCTTATGCATCTGAAAGAAACCAGGTGTTCATGGGTGGAGTTCAGACCAGACTAATCAGCCACAGATCATCTCCATCACTGCAGACAGACTGAGTTGAGTTGGGAACAGAGGTTTTCTTTTGTGAAGGGTCACTGTGTGTATGTATGCGTGTGTGTGTGTGTGTGTGCGCACATGCAGTCTATGAATCAGCTCCATATGTTACTGTAACATGATCTGATATGTCAGTGTAATTTTCAAATGACACTAGATGTGGATGAAAGTAAGATGAGGATATGATATCCATACATGAGATGTAAGCCACCTGATCCTCTGATTTCCAAAAGCATGTTGCCATAAGACTTTACAACTTGTATGAAATGCCAGTGTGCTTAGAGACTCAAATATTGTATATAACGTGTCTGTGTGTTTCAAGTAAAAGGCTCTATGGTAAAAACTCTCAGGGATTAATTTTGTGGATTACTTATGGGTCTTGATTCACTTTTTCTGGCGATGTAAAAATATTGCATTATGAGATGATGCTGCCTTGGAGTTTTGGAGAATAATGACTTAATCAATAACTGATATGGTCATAATGAATCTGATATCACACACTGTATCTCTGTTACACCAGCCATATGGCTGCACTGGTGTGACGAAGTGATACTTGTCACAGTGTCTACGTGTGCTTTGTACTTCTGCTGTAGTTAGACTCTCGGCTGCTTTGCACTGAGCTTTGTTTGTTCAGTTTTGTTGGTCTGTTGCTTCCAGATTAATTTTTTTTTTTGTGAAACAAGAAAGTGTATTTTTGTTTGTTTGTTTGTTTGTTTTGCACTGAATTTTTGAGAAAATTTGTAAAAATCAAAAACCTAAAGTAATCTGAACAGTGTAAGACATTATTGCAATTTAAAATTGCATTTTTGTTTTCTATTTTAATCATTTAAAATGTCATTTATTCCTGTGATAACAAAGTTGAATTTTCAGCTTTTACTCCAGTCTTAAGTGAATTTGGGAATATATATATATATATATATATATATATATATATATAGACATTTATTTATTATTTTTAAAAGTACATATAAAACTTATAATTATATTTCCATTAGGGCCAGAAAATGAGATTAGGCCTTTGAGCATGACTTTATAATATATGCCTATTATTTTTTGACTCGGTGGTTTCTTATGTCTGTAAAATGCTTGTTTCCCTCCACTGTGGCATGTAGTGTATGTATGCAGTCGATTAAGGCCAAACCACACAATTAAGTATCTTGTAAAGTGTCAAAATGAATTCGCTCTCATATATATTATGCTGTTCTTTTGTTGGGGCTCTTTTGGCACTGTGCCAGCTACTGTGCCCACTGCCAGAAAACAGGAAAAGGAAATGATCAAGAATCATCAACAACACGCGACAGATATTTATAGAAAGGAACTCGCCCAAGAGAAACAGTGAAACAGAGCATTATTACATACACTGACGCACATGCACACACATACACACACACGCACGGTGGTCCAGTAGATGGAAATTAGCGCTTTCTTGTGGTGATGATTTTATTTTTCTAAGTGTAATTCAACTTTTCTTTCCCGTCTACCTCAGAAAGGTTTGCTTAGCTTAGAAGATTTCCATGAGCACACATTCCTCTAAGATCTGTCATTAGTCATGGGCTCTCTCTTTCCCTATTCTGTATCCTTTTATTCCTTTGTTTTTGTCAGTTCTTTGCAGTTTGTTAGTTATTTTCATTACAGAGTGAGGAAATCGATCGGGGATACTCAAAGCCTCAAATTCAGCTCCCTATGAGGTTATCAGCAGACATAACTATCCTCAACAACATTGTTATTGTTTTTAACAGTTCAGTTGCAGTTTCCATGTCTACACTACAACCAAGTGACACAACAGGACAAAAATCCTTTATATATTCAAAAAGTCTGTGTACACCGCTCTAGTTTTGCTCCATCACACAACTTGCTTGTAGTGTAGAAAGTCTTGATGATTTGTCACGTCACATCGATTTGATGCTGGGGTGCAGAGTAGATGCTGGGGTGGACGTGTATGTAGATGACACTTTACAAGACACTTAATTGTGTGTCTTAATTGAATGCATGCCACAGCGGAGAGAAACAGAAATTTTACAGACATGACAAACCACAGGGTCCAATAATAATGTGCATATTATAAAGTTATGCTCATGGACCAAAATAGGATCACACTCCACTTTCGGCCCACATTCTAGTGTAATTATAATAATAATGGCTGAAAATAATTAGATATATTTAGTAAATAACATTAAATTCAATTTCATTTTAAAATTCCCTTTGCTGGGAGTTTGATTGACAGGCGATCTGACCAACTATAGCGCTAAATCTGCCATTTTGTTAGACAAACAAACCAGACAGGGAAGTTAGTAGATTACAGTTGGTGGATTTGAACTTGAAAACTGGTGTGTACTGACGTCTTTCCGTGGTTAAAACGACACACCTTCGGATGTTCATTCATGTTTATTTCATGCTATAACTAGTAGGAAGAAATTATCTGTTCACGTGCCATTTGAACTGAGGCGCTACAGTAATTTGTCATGATGCATTAAAGGGGTCATATGATGCGACTTCAATTTTTCCTTTCTCTTTGAAGTGTTACAAGCTCTTGGTGCATAAAGAAGATCTGTAAAGTTGCAAAGACTAAAGTCTCAAATCCAAAGATCAACTTCGTGCTGTGGATCGCCGGAACGGCTTTCACGGTGGACGAAGCGGAGTACAGCCCGGGGTCGTCACTTGTGGTTGCCGCAAGCCCAGCCGGATGCTCCTCCATCAAATCCGCCGGCCGCGCCATTCTCAAGCCAGCCCGCCCGCCCCTGCTTACTCAAGCCCGCCTCCGCATACTCTAGGCCGCCACTTACTCTAGGCCTCCGGCCTCTGCTCACTTTAGCCCGCCGGCCGTTCCTCACTCTAGGCCACCGCCGCTCACTCTAGCCCGCCGTGTGTGACGCTGTGTTTCGTTGTGAAAGTGAAACTACTTTGTTTGGAATTCCAAAAGAGGACACGACTAGAAACCAGTGGTTAAGTTGTATTTACAACACTGTTCCAGAACACTTCAACCCAAATATTCAGATGTGTGCAGCACATTTTATGGAGGACTGTTTCCTGATCCTGGTAGAGTAGACTACAATGCCGGCTGTTGTGACTCACAGACTGTAAGTACGTTTTTTATATTTAAAGAATTTGCCACTGATGATTCAAACGCGAGTTTTTGGCAGTGTAGAGTAGGGCTTGTTGTTTGTCATTTCTCCGATCACAAATGCAGACATGGTTTTATGTTTACGCGGCGCGATGCAATGCAATGCGTAAAAAGACAGTATAAGTCATTATAATCCGTAATTATGCCCCCACTGGATGCAACAAATGCCTCGTTTATAATGGGTTTTCATGTTTTTGAATCGTCGCTCCGGCAGTGTTGCCAACTTCTTTCAGTGGAAAGTAGCTAAACCCCCCCTGAAAAGTCGCTAAATGTCGCTAGATGACGTCATACACTAATTAGCATATTCATGACGTCAGTGCGTTGTATTGTCTTGCCTCCCTGTGCTCACGTACTGCATTTTAATGCAGCCAAATTCTCAATAAAACTTGTTTTTATTAACATATTTTACTGTTTCTGTTGTCAGACAACGGAATGAATATTATAGTGACTGAAATGCGGTCCATTAAGGCTACATAACCAGCTCTCAAAGATTAATCCTAATCACGACATTGTCTAATGAAACCAAATACACATACGATTAAGACAATGGCTGTGCTGTGATTTCGGCTATACTTGCATGTAAAATAGAGTTAGAAGCAACATAATATCTTTTTTTTAACTGAAAGTGCTACTCCTCTAAATAAGGTTAAAGAGTCTCAGAGACTAAATAAGGTTAAAGAGTCTCAGAGACTAAATAAGGTTTAAGAGTCTCAGAGACTAAATAAGGTTAAAGAGTCTCAGAGACTAAATAAGGTTGCTGAACAGAGCAGACGCAGAGAGAGAGTGTGCGCTGGGAAAGCAAGACCTCGCGCTCGTGCAGCAGTACCGGAGAGTCTCAGAGACTAAATAAGGTTTGTCCAAGAAAGTCGCTAGATTTGTCACTAGTCGCTTTTTTCGAAAAAAAGTCGCTAAGTTGGCAACACTGCGCTCCGGCCTGACAGGGCATCACAGTATGGTAAGGGGCGTAACATTTCCGTCACACGCTTGAGGTATTCGGCCAATCACAATGCACTGGATTGCTGGCCAATCACAGCACACCTCGCTTTTCAGACCGATGAGCTTATGTGGAAAATAATGTGTTTTTTTTAACCTTAAACCGCATAAACACATTTCATTACACCAAATACACAAAATAATGTTCTTTTTAGCAACATCATAAGACCCCTTTAAAGAGCCACAAAATGATATTTTGTTGTTTGAATTTCTTAATTACAAAATTTGAAAGCTGAGACTGTTTCATACCAAAAGGAACCTGCTCTGTCTTGTCTGCGTTGTCAGTGTCCTCTTTATGCTTCAATATAGTTTTCACTGAGTGAGAATGTGATGTATAACATGAGAGCGCCATGGCTTGTCGGATGTAGCAACAGTCTTTGCAAAGGGTCAATTACGAATAAATGAATTCTTTTAATGCAGAGCATAAGGATATGCAAATATTTACCATGTCATCACTATTGATGCAGTCACACTGTATTTTAATATTAGGATCTGAAGTTAGCATGCTGGAAGCATTTATGAATTTTATGAATGCATTTAAGTGTAAATAAGATTCACATGGACTACATTGAGTGAAAATGGTCTTTTAAAGAGGTTTCAGCACTGTTTTGATAAATATACGAGACTGTTATGCATTAAGTCTTGGCTGTGATCGTTGGTTACTGAACACTTTTAAACCAAATGAAAGCCATATATAATTACTATTACCAGATAATTCAGTGGCCCCTGGTCATTTTCTAAAAGTGGCTCTTAAGCAAAGTAACATGAATATCCCTGACATAGATCTTTATAGAGCCTATTTCCTCAACATCCCCTCAGTCGCTCTGTTCCTCTGCCTTTCTGCCCCTCAGTGGGCATCTCTGTCTGGATCAGCATTTCTGTGTTTCTTCAGTTTTCCCCTTGTGTGCATGTGCTGCTGGCCAAATGTAGGTTAATGACTTGAGCAGCACTGCTGGCAGGAGGAACACTTGAACAGATAACCCTACCCCGGAGATTTGTTGGCCATGCAGTAGTGGACTTGGACTTGTGCTTGTGCATGAGTCTGTTATTGTTCTGTAATAGTCCCTCAGTGCCGAAGAGAGAAGAGCGGTCACTCCCTGCGGAGCTTTGTGTAAATCATCGGTATTCTTTTCAGCAGCATCCTCTGTTCTTCCACATGAAAGCATCTCTCGCTTCCTCTCCAACATATCAAACACTGAAATAATCAATAATAAATTATAAATGACAAAATGGAGCAGATCCAAATGTATAGCACTCAGTGTGAATCCTGGTATTCCTGTACTGTATGGAAGCCAGTTTTTATGTTAGAAGAATAAAAACTAAATCCAACTTCATGACTTTATTTATCAAAAGCTCTTTATATCTTACAGTTGTAACTTCATGTCTTTCTGTATCTCACAAAGTGACTTTGTATCTTGCAAATGAGACTTTACAAAAGAGTTGATATCTCTAAATTGAGACTTTATTTAAGAATTTATATATACCGCTGCAACTTTATATCTCACAATTGTGACTATGTCTCAGAATTGAAACTTTATATCTCAATTGCAACTTTGTCTAACAATTTTCTCACTGTTTAGACTTTGTATCGCATTGCAACTTTATATCTCACAATTAGGATTTTACATCTTACAAGTGCGACTTTAGATTTCACGTTGCGACATCGTCTCACAATTGCAACTTTACATCTCACAGTTGCGACTTTGTCTCATGTTGTGACATATCTCACAATTGCAATTATATTTATCAGAATTAAGACTTTATATCTTACTTTTTAGACATTATTCCCCATAATTGTGACTTTATAGCACAGTTGAGACTTTAAATCTTGTATCTCACAATACGACGACTCACAGTTGGAACTTTATTTCTCTTAACTAATTTTTAACTCTCCCACAATTTTTTATTTATTTTATTTTTTGACTCTGATGAAGAAACTTGCTTCCATAGGTAGCAAACTGAATGTACATCTTATAGATGCTGTTATTGATCAAATATAATTTCTCCATCCTCTTCTTACTCAGACTTGGCAATAGGGGCTCCATTCGCAGGGGAGGATCGTGGTGGCAGGGTCTTCATCTATAATGGGCAAAAATCTGGGCTGATGTTACAGGCATCTCAAGTGCTGAAAGGCGACTGGGCCTCATCCGGCATCCCAGCAGGCTTTGGATTCACCCTGCGAGGAGATTCTGACCTCGATAACAACCAGTACCCTGGTGAGTAAAGAAAAACTTTCAGTCTCTTCCTCTCTCTGTTAACGCAAGTTTCTGTTAAGACAATCATGCTTAGGAACTGATGTAAGCCAGGGAGATTAGATGTAGGAAGAATGAAAGACTGGACCGAGACATCCAGGTTGAGTCACATTGTTGGTCAGTTCATTGGTCATTTTTTTTACAAATGTGTGCAAGTATTTCCACACATTCTTTTTCATTTCTTGGGTTTTTATTTGTCTCCTTTTATGGTGGGATATTTTTTCTGCATATTTTTCTCGTTACTATGTTTATCATGGTTTATTTATCATGTTTTAATTGAGAACAATCTTCCGCAGAGTGTGATGAAATCCATGTAATTTCTGACGCTCTCTGCTGTCTGAGCCACATCAAATCACAAATATATGAATGACGTTTCAGCTCATTTTCATTGAGCACAGTGACTTGGAGTTTACCTGAGAAGGTCAGATCTTATTGAACTTTTAGATATTTTAAAGTAGATCATTTTGAGACTATGGAGATAAATATTTGCAGGTGACTGAACAGGTTATATATAGCCTGTGTGTGTGTGTGTGTGTGTGTGTGTGTGTGTGTGTGTGTGTGTGTGTGTGTGTGTGTGTG